AGACCTCTACGTATCTATATCTATTACTACGTAGATTTAGAAGCCGTAGTCCTTAAGCTTATTATATATATTTATACTCTAGACTATATCTAGACTAAGGGTAATATACTTTCTATAGCGCTATACGAACTTCGAGGCTCTATTATACGGACTAGTAGGATATACCTTATAAGCTATCTCGTAAAGTCGCTTCCTATAAAGGTATACTATTTTAATACTAGGTAGAAACCCCTTTCCTTATAAAGGGTATATATATACTTACCTTTCGAGAGCGAGCCTCGTTCTATCCGTTATACGGAAGTATATTTAAAGTAAATTTATACTATATAACCTAAGGCGTAAACGATCGATTTCTTTCTTTATTATCTTTTTATACTCTTCTTCGCGCTTACGAAACTTTACTTCCCGTAGTCGTAGCTTTATTCTAATACTCCTCCTTAGCTATATAAAGGTATTCGGCTTTATTATAAAGCCCTCGTCCTTTAACGTCTCTATAATATATACGTTAGGTAGCTTTTTAAGGTAGAAGAGTTTAGCAATTCGTATTCGGAGGTACGGATTATTATAGGTATCGCTCTTTAACGCCTATCGAGGCTCGCTACTATTATTTACGGTAATTATACGGATAGTACGTTTAGAGGCGATAAGGCCTTAGGAACTTAGGTAGGCTTAAATATTAGTAATATTTACGCTATTATTCTAGAGCTCTACGAGCTTAGAATATAGGTCGAGGGGAACTATAGGTAAGCGGCCTATTTTAAATACCGCGCGTATAATATAGGAGAACGTTAATAGGAAAAACGATAAATAGAATAGGTAGTAAGGTAGTAGGGAAGCCTCGGTTAGAATTTTTAGAGGAAGGGTTCGGGTTAGAGTAGTATAATTTTTAATTAAAGTAAATGTAGGTACGATAGAATAAGTATATATTATTAATAGAATATAGTTATACGGGCGTATTAAATATATAAAAGATAATAATAGATACCGAGATAAGTAGTAAGATAAGTCGTAAGTTATAAAAATATATAGAGTAGTCTCTTATACTCCTAGACTATACTTACGCTCTAAATAAAACTTCTTACGCTTAGAATACCCCGTATAAAAATAGGCCTCTTCTACTAAATTACTCCTACTTCCTTAATAACTCCTACTTGCCCGATAATCTCTCTACTTTACCCGATAATCTCTCTACCTTACTTATACTTAACTATTCTTATACGCTTACGGGGTACTAAACGCCTAGACCTTATCCGCCGWATTATACGCTCTATAGGAGCTACTAGATTGCTATCTCTATTATTCCGGTAGTCGCGGATATCGAAGCTATACGCCTTATCCTAGAACTTATAGTTACTATAGACATTATAGAAGCTCTTCTTTAAGACTACGTACGACTTTTCTTGTTAGCTTTTAATATAATTATACGGGCTAGGATAGTATACTATAAAGTGTTAAGGCTAATCCTAATACCGCTAATACCGCTTATCTCGACCTATCTCCTTACTATTACTATCTACGCTACGCTTATCCGGATATATTATACCGCTATTATATTATTAGCGGTTATACTCCTATAATTTCCTAGGTAGATTATACGAACCGGCTCTAAATTAATATAGCGTTAATATAGCTATAACGATTATAAATCTAAGTCGCTAGATTAAATATCGTAAGCCGAGTAGAGAATCGATAGCTAGCCTTATCTTCTATTAGCTTAGTCTGCTCCTTATTTAGAGTAAAGCTAGCCTTCTTAAGCTATTTATACGGGTTAGTACTATAGCTAAACTATTTATTTATTGCCGTAGCTTTTTACCTTATTTTTCCGAGTATCGAGAGTTCTTATACTACTAGTAGGACTACTATCGAGTAAGAGTAGGTTAAATAGGGGTTTAGGCGGTATCGTCGTAGTAAGTGCTAGTTATACGGGGTATAAAGGGAGGAAGAAGGAGGAGGGTAGATATTATGTTATAGTAGTAGTAGGTATTATAGTTATAGTTAATATTAATAGAATAGAAGTAATAAGAGTCGACTACGAGTAGATAAGTAAATATAGTAAAGCGTTACGCCTACTATTAATTACCTATACAAACTGTTAATAGACCGCGCGCGTAGTTATTTACTTATACTTCTACGTACGTAATTACTTACTTTACCGTAACTAAAAGCTAAATATATAATATAATATATAATAAACTATATACGATTAAGCGTTCTTCTTCGTTTCTAAGAGGTAATAAAGGCCGTATAATATATTAAAAGTAAATATTAAATAGAACAGGAGAATAAAGTAGAGATAAGAAATACTTACCTATATAAGTAGGAGCTAAAACATCCTAAATATCCTAAGGATATTTAGGTTATTTCTAAATAGAAACTCGTAAAAGAAATTATACTACCTAAAGCTTACTTCCTTCCTCCTTTCGATCTACTCCGAGACCGAGACTTAGACCTCTTACCTTAAGTAGTTCTCTTCTTATCCCGGTCTAGCCTTAGCCCTATTAACTAATCCTTATAATACGAACGACTTCGTATTATACTATCCTACGCTTTAAATATATAGCCTTTATACTAGCTAGGTCCCTTATAGGTCTCTCTCTTTTCTACGAACGTATTACTCTACTAGTAGGTATTTTTATAACTCCTCTAGATATAGTTAGCGTAGGCAGAGTTAAGAAATCCCTCTTAGACGACGTATTCCTTTTCCCGTTAGTATTAAAAACATTTATACTAGCTAGGAAAATATACTACGAATAGTTCTAAGCTAGGTAGTAAGCCCGTATTATCGTTCTTATTAATTTTTTGCTCGTAATCCTTATACTTATCTCCCTTCGCCTTAATTTTACTATTATAATATTATTAGTATATCTCTACTCTTATAATTTCTTAAATAGATTATACAAACCGGCTCGTAACTAGGAAGGCGTTAATATAATTAGGGCGATCCTAAATATTAAAGATCTATTTAAATAGACTATTATAGTAAGAGATATATTACTTTACCGTAAAACCTATTATATACGTCTAATCCGCGCTAAGAGTAAAGCTAGCCTTTTTAAGCTATTTATACGGGTTAGCGCGGTCGCTAAAGAGTTTTATTTTTAACTCCTACCCTATTCTTATTTAGTTTAAGATACGCGTAGTCGCCGATATTATCTAGGTTATCTAGGTCGGTCGGGGGGTAGCGATACGCTAATATGTATAAAGGTCTACGTATTCGAGTAGTAACGCGGTTATTACTAATTATATAGGGTAGTAAAGGAGGAAGGAGGAGAAAGGTAGATATTTAGTAGTAGAAGTAGTAGGAGATGTAAAAGTAGATATTAGAAAGCGATAAGAGTCGATTATAAATAAGTAAGTAAATATAGTAAAGCGTCGCGCCTACTATTAATTACCTATATAAATAGCATTACTCCTAAAAGTAATGCTATAACTACCTTACTATTATTTTTAATACCTTACTATATTACGCGGTAATTACTTAAGGAAAGAATAATATAAGGTAATTATATACTAGTCTTATACGTATATTCGATTACGCTACTTAATTATTATTATACGGAGTTTATTAATTATTACCGAGGTTACTATACCCCCTACTACTAGTATTACGCTATTACTTTAAAGTTTTGTTATAGAGATCTCCGTAAAAACGCACCATATAACTATATATATACTACTTTCTACTTACTTAACTTCTCTACTTTTCTTTCTACGCTTATTCTTCTTAACGGGCCCTAGGTAACGGCATTACGGTAGCCTACGCTAGGCTCCGCGTAATCTTAATAAGAGTTTCTTAGAGCACGGCGTTAGTCGAACTATATTCCTAGATAACGGTACGTATAATAATAACCTACCTCTTACTAGAAACCCTCTAAAAGACTAATAGTAGTCCTCGTAAATTCTCTTTATTACCGTAATAGCTAAAGGGCTAGGTAATAGAGTACGCTCTAGGTAGTCTACCGTCTTCGGAATGTGTATACGAAGTATAGGGGTTACTATAGCATGTTATGTTAGTTAATAAGTGGGGTCTAGGGAGTGCTGTTATTAGCCCCGATGTGTAAGCTAATAGGAAGAAAAAGCTTAATTACGCGCCGTGTCTTCTATGAGCGCGATAGCACCCTCTTCTCCCCTTCCGCTCGCGGCTGCTCGCGAGTATCTCGCTTACCATGTGCTGCGCACCGACTTGTCATTGGTCAATCTTGCTACTCCGATGAACAGCACAAGTTACAACGCTGTAGCGAGAACCTTGGAGTGGGATTAGCGAACGTGTCTTCCAGTGCAGGTAGCTCTACATTTCATTAGACTACCACGCCAGCAGGWCTCTCCGTCCTTTAGCATTCACTCACCTCCATGTACATCGTACACGCCTTTTGCTCCACGCCTGCTCGTGGCTTCGGCTCACTCGTCCGTCTTACACGCATGGAGAAAGCAAGAGAAGAGAGTTTGTGATGAGAGTGCTCAAAGTGCAACTAAGAGTGACCCGACGGAGAAGTGCGCGAATGGTCCGGACGCTAAACATCCGGACCATAACAACCAAGACAACCCCCCACCTGAAGTAAGCTTCCAACGTTCCTCGTTCAACGACTCGATCTTGGATCCTACTCCTTCGCAGAACTTTGATGGAGCCGTGCACTCCGTGCTGTGCCTCTGCAGACAACTGCTTGATCAGGTCCGCCAATCGTTTCCCAAACAACTCCTCATTGAGCCATGCAATCCGTGCTGTGCCTCTCCAGTGCCGTGCAACTGGTTGAGGCCCGTCAATCGTTTCCCAATAGCTCCCGCAAGCGCTCGATGTTGCATTGAAGGATCAAGGAATTCTTGTGGCCGATATGCATGAATGCTGAAGTGGTTGCTAGTGCAAAATCGCCCGTACTTATGGCTATAATCGCCTGAATCACCTCTCGCCTGCGTGGCTTATCTTCAACACACCGAGACAAACTTGCATTGGCAGTGCTCGAGTCACGCACCTAAAGCTGGATATCTGACGATTCGACGAAAGAATGGCACACAATCTCAAAGGCATGCACTGGAACTCAAATGCTCTTCCTACTTCAACCGCTTCGAGACAAGAGCCATATCGATATCTGCTTCAAGCCTCCGATCCCAATATGGCTATGGCACCTCCAAGAGCTAGCAAACCGGCAGTCGTCCGCTGCAGAGATTCGTCCTTGAACATGGAGACACACGTGCTTTCGGGATCGTCAACGGAGTGCCGTCAAATCGTAGAGACTGCGTCTGGATCATCGCTCTCCTCACCGCACACGTTGCGTTTCCCTGTCGACGACCACACTAGCAGCAACAGTAATCGTCCAAGGTGTTTCGAGCATGGTTGTGCCGGGCGAGAATTCTCGAATGTATACAACTATCGGCGACATATCCAAGAACGCAGCCGCTCTAAGTCCACGGAATGTCCCTGGTGTTCTGCCCAGTTCACTCGCAAAAGCAACAGAGATGCGCATATTGCCACCGGTCGCTGTCGAAGACTGAATGAAGAGCTCTGTGAGACCTACCATACACTCCTCACCGACCCGGAATTCAACCGCCCATCAGGGGCTCAGCAGTCCGTCGGTGAAAGTGACTCCAACATACTGCAGGGCGAGGCGAGATCAAGTTGTCTCATTGAGCCTAAGCTTTTTGTCACCGACGACCAGACCGGCATACTACAGGAGCATCTGGGTGGTCTTACAAGTGCTCCGCTTGATTGGGGTTGGGAGCAACCTTTCGGTCAACTTGGTTAGTTTGTGCAGCAAAGATAGGATTGCCTTTGTCAAATTATAGCCTTTCAGTATCATTTAAAATGTAATGGTCTAATTTAAACACACGCACTTGATTTTATTTCCTCGTTGACGTAATTTTCGGCAAACAGTTTCCGCTAACATTGAAAGCTATACGCATCGGATCTGTTGAATGCTACTTTTTCACCCGGGAGAGGTTGACGAAGAAGACATTAGGATTCTTGGGTCCCGATTGCGCACGAGATCCAGTCGGCAGTTCCATCTTGATGGATTCGCATCGACTGAACTCACAAATTGCTAGTCGAGCTTTTTTTTTGGGGTATAAAGAATTTAGTTGCCGGTCCTATACATCTGGCATGATCATTAAGCATGCCTCTCGTGCGTCACAAATCGGAGCAGGATCTGCATTTTGCTTCTTCCACCCGTATTAGTTAGCATTCGCAATTGACTAAAAGATCCTTTCTGTAATTGCTAAAGTTTCGAGAATGATTCACTTCAGAGGAATTCACTTACTCGATTTGTAATGTAGAAGGTTCTAGCAATCAGGTCAGTGGATATATACAAGAGCTGTGATTCACTCGTAGATAGGCAAGCAATCAAGTTATCAATTTTCACAGAAGCTGGTCTGGGATATTTGATCAGAGTATTCTAGTTTCGCGCTACAGTAGTGAACTTCGTAATAATGTGAGACGTTAAAGCCTGCCGTTGCCCTCTGTAACTCCATGTCGCCGACCATCTTCGCATATCACAAATCCATAACCTAAGGAAAGCCATGGCCGATTTCTCTGCAATCCTTGAATACTCGCCATATCATCATTTACAAAGCTGCATCGATGAATTTCCAGAGAGTGCGCTGCAAGTTGCGCTTGCGGACTTCCGCTGGCAGAAGCCAAGTATGGCTCTATCGCCTTTGCTATACTACTGCGTCCAGCAAGACAAGCTCTCGCCTTTTGTTGAGCTACTAGAGTCTGGAATCAATCCGGACGAGGATGTTATCGAAGCTTCCGCTTTTCAAACAGAATCACAGCTTTTTGCTCAAACTCCTAGAACACGGCTGRTCGATCGACCATACTCTTTCAGGTGGTAAGGTGCCATCTGTGCTTTGGTGAGTAGTGCTCCCTCTACACACTGCGATATAAAGTCTAACTGCTACTTCACAGCCTAGCGATTGATCGACCCAAGCTCCTAGAGCAACTTTTACTACAATACGGAGCTAACCCGAATGCCATGTCTACTTCAGGTGAAAACGCCTTTATCCGTAGCTGTACAGGCAGGCTCATCAGTTGAGACAATCAAGATGTTGCTAGACGCTGGGGACGAATGTCCAGGATGGTGACGTTCTGTTATACGCCGTCGAGCGCGAAGGCGACGAGCTGGAGGTCATACGGCTGCTTTCTTCTGTCCAGCAAAGCACCGGTTAATGTCATTCAGTTCTCACATCCTATCGCCCGTCAATTGCGACACTCCCTCCTTAGGGGTACGCCACTTCATAGCGCTTGTCAGCTAGGCAAACAGGATGTAGTGGACCTGCTGCTGACCCATGGCGCTGATCCAAGCAGCACCCGAATGCGGAGGTCGCAAATAGAAAGAACGACTCCACTGGACATCGCTAAACAGCAGGAGGATGAGCATATGGTCGCTCTTCTAGAAGCTAGCCGACCGGGGAGTCGTATTTGAGGAGATGTACTAGTCGCCTCTGCTAGACAGATTTGATGGCTGTGGGAATCGAAACTTGCGCGAACAAAGGAGTGTGCAGCGCCTCGTTCAGCTTGGGGAAGGAAGGAAGAGGGAGGAGAGGGATTGTCCACGCGATGTTCTCTTATCCTTGCTTTCATGCATCTATGGTCGAATGTAGCAGGAGGGTTTGGCTTTCTGATTCATGTCTCTTCACATTATAGATCGGAGCTTGAAAGTCCACAGCTCGTAGCTCGAGTTGACTTGTCTACTTCTACGGCTTCACCTGTCCGAATATGGCCATGTATGACCGTTATTCACTATATAGCTGTGCCAGCACGATCATGATAAGCTGCATTTACTTGGAGATAGGAGGAGGCGTAGCGTTGGTAACAGGGATACTGTGCATAGTGTTAGCGTCAAGAGTCCAGTTCAAGAAGGAGACAAGCAGTGAGAAAAAAAAAACGTACCCGATGAGGCGCGACGTATACTTGGGCTTGCACTGGAAGTCAACGCCACCGACGTTACGGCCAGATTGATCCATGAAAGCAAAGGAGCCGCTCGTACCAGCCGACGTAAGGAAAAGCTCCTGACCCGATGCGCCAGCGGTGAAGGGACCAAAGCTGAAGGTGTTGTCGGCAGGCAACGCAATGTCGAGTTCTTGGCCTTGTTGGACCTTGGAGGTGGTGCGAATGGGCGTTGTCAAGGCATTGATCGAGGAGGGGCTGCCGTTCTCGACCGTGATGTTGTACTGCTTGACGATGGTCGTTGCCATTGTCACGCCGGTGAAGCCCGAGGTCAGATCGGCGACTGTGGCGGGGGACAGGCGCAGGTAGGCAAAGGCGTCTTTGACGGACCACTTGTCACCTGGGTGGAGGTACGTTGGTACGGTACCCGAAATGGTGAGGTCGACATCGTCCATCTTGCCGTTGCTGAAGTCGCAGCTGTAGGGGAAGCGGAATGAGCCTGTCTCCTCGTTGTTGGAGATTTTGGCAAACTTATAGGTGCCATTGGTGGTCGGCGCGGCCGGGGTTTTGAGGCTGGGATCGAGAATGTTCACGATGCCGATGTCGTAGCGGATCTCCGATGGAGGGCATTTGATCGGGAGTGGGAAGAGGAATGTGGAACCGTCATTGTTGAGCAGAGTGAGATCGATGTCGACTTCGCCCAAGTGGATTAGGTGAGTCTTGCCAGCCTGGCCCAGGGTCACGGGGCCCAAAGGAGGGAGGGTGCCAGTGGTGGGCACACGGACCGTCACCGGCTCGCCAGGGGTGAATGTGATGTTGTCGAGCACGAGTGGCTCGGGGAACACATCGTAGGTCGCGGGAGTAGCGTTCTCGAGGTCCAGTTGGACCTTGACACTGGCCTTGGCGTGAGAGACACTGACAAACTTGCCCAGGCCGGTCAAGGATGAAGGAATGGTGATTGCAGCCACTAAATCCGTGTAGTAGATCTGCTGTCCAGAGGCACCCTGGATAGGGGCCGTGGCGGTAAAGTAGCCCTCAAAGGTGTAGTTGCCAAAGACGGGCACATTGCAGGTCACACCAAAGTCAAGAGCACCAATCTGAGCAGACAGCGGGACGACCGGGTCGGTGTTGGCAGCGGCGGCGAGACCGGCCGCAAGTGCTATTGTTGAAACCATCTTGGAAGCCATGGTCAGTTTTGCAAGTATAGCTGGAGCTGAGGAATGGCGGCGCACGAGGAGCAGTCCCGTAGTCTATATGCTTCTGCACTGGCGCTGACCTTCCCCACAGTCTCAGCGGCCATCCTCCATCAAGGCTACCTCGGAGTGGAGACTCCGAGCAGCGTGAGGTATCGACAGCGTGCTCGACTGTGAATCCATCATGACCGAGGCAGTTGGTGCATCCTTTCGGGGTGCCATGTGAGCGAGGAAAGAGGCTATCTGAACGTGCTGCGGGCTCGACGAGTAACATTGACCGCAATCTACCAGGATATGAAAAAGCAGTGAGGGGTGCAAAACGGTGCAGTCGCACTGTGTACCATTCGTGGAGTGCCGAGTCAATGCTTTCTACACTAGCCGCAGATCCTGTAAGACGAGTTAGGCAATTGCTAAACAACGTATGCCAAATGCGGACGGTGATACTCGTAGACTACGAAGTAGATTGCTTAATGTAGTTTAGCATTTTCTCATCTAACGGTCTTGGTTGTGTTGCAGTTGTGTCGCAGGTTGTCTTGCAGGACTTGCGGCTAAAGCCATCTGCAGTGTGGGACCGCCAGTGATGCTGCAAGACAAACGCCTGATGGATGCTGCAGTTACACCTTCACATTGCTCGAGTACAGTGTGCTGCGAGCATCGGGCTCGTTGCCGAGGCTTAGTCGGTCGCGAGGGGTTGAAAGAGAGTTTCCAACGGGATTAGGGGCTTGATGCCGAACAGTCGATCGTTCTGCCGGCGTGCTCGGATAACTGGCCGCACGATCTGCGTAGCTGAGGCACGAGTGCCACGATCATTGTCGATGGTTGCGTGGGGTAGGGTATGTGATGGTTCTGTAGAGTGACGATTATCAACGGCACCCCGCAAGTTGCTTGGCCTAAAGCGAAACCATAATAAGACATATGATCAAGACCTACTAACCATCATTGATGCCCTCAAGTAATTTTGACACTGCCTTGTTGGTATTCAGCGCACAATTCACATGCTCACAGATCAAAACAACTTACGCAAAGTCCGGACTCTATAGCCATAAATCCATATCATGGAGCTGGGTGCCTCGTTAGACCCGACTTGGAGATCACCATTCTGTTCTGCCATCCTCCTACAATCTCGGTCGATCGATTCGTTCGAGGGCAGCAACCTACATCTTTTCGGTTAGTGCTACATGTGCTGAGATACTGTCAATAGTGGCTTGATATAGCGTTTGTTGCAATGGCGGATGCTAGAATACCTCTATCATACRGAGGTCGCGACGCTTCGATCATCCAGTTCTCCATACTTGTGATCCCCCATTGAGTACTGCCGATCCTCAATTTTTTTAAGAGCAACTGAAGCCTTATTAACTCCTAGTCTTCGCTGTGAACTTGAAGTCGAAGTAGTCTTTTGTGAGCTTGATCTAATTTGTTTGACATGACCGTTCATAAGCCGGATGAAATGCCAACATCCCGGTGCGGACGCTACCACGATGGAAAAGTTTTGATTGACTCTGCGCTGTATCAGTGATGTTCTTTCGCAGAAATGCTGCGCTTCACTCACATCACCCAGTAGGTTGGGTACACCAGATCAGCTGCGGACATGTAAGTGAGTGTTTACAGATTGAATACGTCTCAGGGAAGACCTACGGCCTGACGCCGTTGCGTACTCTCGAACTAAGACGGCTTGTGCGATCGAGGTCGATGCGTCCCTGCCGCAGTGTCAGTACTCAGAATTGGACTGACAGAATTGCCGAGTCCTTACAAGAATCCGAAGGCTATCAAGACCAGAAGCAGCTTCTTGTCCGATGATTTCATCTGTAGGTGAGAGATCAGGTAGAAGGGAAGTGCAGCACAGGTGAATTCTGTGACAACATTCGTGACTATGCTCATCAGCGCGTGAATCGTATGTCCTGCGCAGACGTTGACAGACTTACTGTTTGTTGGCAGGAGTATATCACTTATTGTCTGTTTGCTGATGCATCGCCCATGCACTCGTGGATTCCAGTATGCCTCCAACGGTATGCATACAAAGGCCTGGCTCAGGACGTACATGAGTGCTGTWGCAAAGGAAAGACCCATGCACGCCCAAATCACCATCCGCATCCAGCGATGCGTTGGCCCTAGGAGTCGCAGAACAAACCAGCAAACGGATATCTTGGTGATCATGACCCCAACCACGGCTTGGATCTCGGACACATACGCCCAGTGGACGAGATGTTCCACGCCGTTCTCCGTCAATGCTGAAACGCTGTATCGTTATTCAGTTGTGTCTTCTAGCAGTCTGACTTTGCGAGCAACTCACGATTTTCCGAAACCGTAATGCACCTCGAAAACATTACACACTGCTCCAAGTAGCGATATCAGGAGGGCCAGAATAATGCAGCCATCATCAAAGCCGAATGCTTTGCTGCGCAGGCGTGCATAGACCCGTAGACAAACGATAAGGGCCGCCGGTGACCAAGTTCCCCATGTGATGGCAAGGACCCTCTGCCCGCGATCTATCATGGGAGCTGTCGAATCCATGATAGATGGGTCCGCGTTCAGGCTCGGCGCTCTCTGGCTTATATACAAGAACGCGGCTAGGTATGTTCAAGCGACCAWATTTACAACAAAATGATGCTGAAGTGAGGGGTGGGCATGTCAAGCGACCAATTTTACAACCAAGTGGTCCTGGGGTGGAGGATAAGCAGAAGGAGCGCGATGGATTCGCAGCTTGGTGATGAAGGCAGGCATGTTCGAGAGGGATCGAGAGTAGTAAGTACGGCACGGCAGTCTCCATGTCTGCGTATGGTTTCTGCACCTCCTCCAAGGTTGTTCCTTCGCGTTGTCGATCAACGGCGGCGATTGGTGACTGATGACAATCCCAAGCTCGCTGCTGTGCCACAGATGCTGATGATTTTGCCATCTCACCACGCGTAGTTTTGTTGCGCTGGTCCCAGCGAGATCTCCATTGATGCCATATGAAGCCATATGAGATGTGATCTTGTGGCCATGTATACTTTGCGAAGGAATGGAAGAGGAGTCAGGTGGACGCCCAGACTGTGGACGGGGGCGGAAAGGACTGACAAGGATTGGCAAGGCAAGCCTTGATTAGACTTCAGGTCGAAGAAAGCCAGCCACCGGCATGCCACCACTCAACAACGACCTCGCCCGAAGCTGAAAATGCAGCATCCTTCCAGTGAATCCTACAATCTGCACATGAAATGCAGCAGGACCCCGACTTTGGCCTTTTCCGGGCGCGGAACTTTCCAACGACATGACGGAGAAGCAAGTGCATAGCGATACGTGCCATGTGCAAGGTCGTGAACATCGAGACGAGGCGAGAGTCAGTACCAAGGATCGCCTGGTTCTTATCCCGACGCCTAGCAGCGATGCAAGGGACCCACTGGTCAGTATCATCAAGTCCAAGTCCCGGGATTGAGAGCAGCACGTTCAGCCAAAGGTCTTCTTCGTGTCTTGACATTATTCGCACATCAGCTGAGGCGAGAAATCGTATCTACAGAACTGGTCGAATGCGAAAAAGCATGGATCCTTGGCCGTGCTGTGCTTTGCCGCCTTTGCGKCAACAACGGCTCCAACTGCACACCAAACAGCATACCTGGATATCGCACGGGCATATGGCAAAACACCAACAGCGCTCTCCTACTCGATCTCGGCAGCCGTGGCCGGCTTGCTTGGGGGACCCTTCCTTCTGGTTCCACTGGCGGGCCTCATCGGCCGCACTGCTCTGATTTTCTGGTCGCTGCTCGGTGTAATTGCCACGCAAATATGGTCCGCCACGGCGAGTTCACCGGACGACTTCATCTCTTTCACGATCTCGCGTCTGATGTGTGGTGTCTTTGCGTCGGTGCCCACAATCATGGGCTCGGGGTATATCATGGACATGTTCTTTCTGCATCGTCGTGGCTTGCAAGTTTGACCATCTGATCCGAAGAAATGACAGACAATGAATTCAGGCTGACTAGATGTAGCGCCTTCGCGTCCTTTGAGCTTTCGTTCCTTTTTGGCGTCGTAGCCTTGCCTACTATCGGCGGCTTCATTGTGGAATCGCATCCTTGGCCTTTCACGTTCTGGTGGACGCTTGCACCCCTCGGACTTGCCATCATACTAGTAGCGGCGTTCTTGGAAGACACCGAGTATGCACCAGGCCGATCCACTACATTCATCTCACAGTATGCTTCTGATGGGACCCCATACCTGCGGAGAAGACTGAGATGTCTTCTTGGGCTCGGTGTGACACCACCAAGCAGCCTGAACAAGACTCTACGGCAAGCAGCCCTACCCTTTTTAATCGGCGTGACGCCCATAACCATGCTTGCGGGCTTCTATACGCTGATCAACTTTGCCTGGGCTATTCTGGTCAACACAGAGCTTGCGATCTTCCTGGAGATTCCAGTCGTTGCTGGCGGCTATGGCTTCTCAGCCGGTCAAACTGCTGCATTCACTTTCACGAGCTGGTTGGCATTGATCGCCGCACAGACATATGGAATGTTTCTGAACGACCGTATTCCACTATGGTTCGCCTCCCGGCGCACAGGGACGGAGCACAATCGCTGGCATCCAGAAAACAGGCTTTTACCTCTATTCTTGGGTCCTGCAATTGCCTCACCGATTGGTCTGGGAATTGTGGGCGCAGCACTCCAGTACCACCTGCACTACATGGTCCTTGCTGTGGGTTACTTTCTGGTCATTTTCGCAGCACAGTTGTGTGTCCCAATCTGCGTCAATTACGCATGTGAAAACTTCAAGGGTCGTGTGGTCGAGACGACTGTGGCCATGAATGCATACCGCTTGTCCTTGGGAATCGGTCTGGGCTTCTTCTTCCAGCCCTGGCAAGAAGCAGTTGGCGTGGGGTGGCTGTTTGGTACAGCAGCCTTCTTGGCCATCTTCTCAATTGCTGCACTTGCCATGCTTATCATGTATGGCGAGCAAGTAAGACGGATCACATGGTTCAAGGGTCTGCTGGATTCCGAGGACGGTAGAAAGCTTATGAGCGATTAAGACATTAGTGTCAAGTTGCCTATCAACTGGCTGAATGACACCAAGTGGGGCGGTACCCTCTTCTCACCAAACCCCTTCATGACCCCGCTGCCGATCCCTGGTATGAAWCGGTCAGCTATAGAAGTGCTCACTCACTGGGAGCTGTGGACTCGATTGAAACAAACCTACATCGTGTTACTTGGCTACCCAACATGAGTGAAGTTCATGGCCGACGTCTACTGCCCAGCACAATCGATAGCATTGCCCAAAATACCCCCGATCATGCATGGGCTTCAGTGCAATCGACAAGCAGTTCGGAAATCCAAGATGTGTCCATCGCTGTGTTCGCGAATGCAGTCAATCGTAAGTTACGTCCGGGCCACGTTGTCCAGCACACGGCTGACACATTCAAGGAATCGCGCACTGGATCGTGGAAAAGTTGGGAAGAGGTCCTCAAGATGGAGAGCAGCCAGTCCTGGCTTATATTGGAGCCTCTGACCTTCGATATTACGTCCTGTGCATGGCCATTGCAAAAGCGGGTTACGTTGTATGTTGTCCTGATACGTTTTGCCCGCAGAAGATATACTGATGTCCGGAAGCCACTGTTTATAAGTCACATGAACAGTGCCGCTGCCAACACTTCTCTATTTGAAGCTGTCGATTGTAGAGTGTTGTTATGCGGTCTGACGAATATCGATACCATCAATGTGGATACGAAGAACGTCAATGTTGTGCACATCCCGGACGCGAGCCTCACTTGGGACCCTACGCCTGTTCCGGCTTTCCCATTTACGACAACCTATGAAGAGGCGGTGGATAAGCCAATGCTTGTAAGGTTATCTCATTCAACTTTTGTTGTGCTTTCAAATTCGTGGCAGCCTGGCGGTCCCGAAGTTCAATGTGCCTTTGACCTTTTTCGGATGCAAGAATACCTATGGAAGATGTTCCAATGCCTATTGCAGCTCAGACAGCACTCTATTCGACAGAGATCTTATTGGCCAATTCGCGGCCCCTGAGTCCGAAGGTAGCTTTTTTTTCTATGGTCCGCTGACTACATTACAGATCATGCATACGTCCGGCTCGACTGGCATGCCAAAGCCAATCACAGTAAGTCTCGAATCCATCAATCACAAGATGATCAATCCTATACTGATGGCAATCCCCAGATCACACATGGCTGGTTCACCGTTACGGACAGCAGCCAGGACATTCCAGACTTCGAAGGCCACAAAAGTGAGCCTCGACTGCGCGCCCAAAGATCTCGTCATTTCTTAGGATTTCCTCCCTTTCACCCTGCTGGCCTATCCTCGSGACTGCGAGACTCCATCTACTTTGGCAACACAATCGTATTTCCGCGTGCCGATCGACCTATCGATGCTGCATGTGTGATCGATGCGATCAATCACGGAAACATCGATGGCGCAGCCTTATTGCCCCATGTACTTGAAGAGATGGCGAGAAATGAAGAAGCAGTGGAAAAGATCGGTAGACTGGGTTACATCGATTGGGTGGGAGGTGAGGCTCCTCGACTTTTGTTCGTCGTGATTACCAGACTAATAGTAATGCAGGACCTATCTCCCAAGCAGCCGGCGATATAATCTCATCCCGGACGACCCTGAACAACGCCTACGCATCCACCGAAATCGGCGCATCAACTCAATTACAGAAAGAAGACCGCACTCTCTGGAATTGGTACTTCTTCCACCCAAAAGCCAATGGATTTGACTTCCGCCCGGTGCCAGGCGAAGATGGACTTCATGAACTATTTGTCGTGAGACAACCTACCCTTGAGCAACCTGTTTTCCGCATCTTCCCTGAGCTGAACGAATGGCCAACGAAAGACCTCTTCGTCGCTCATCCCACATTGCCTCACCACTGGCGCCTTACTGGACGTAGTGACGACCTCATTGTTTTCCAAAACGGGAGCAAGATCCACCCAAGTGCCGTGCAGACGGCCATGCAGAGTGTTCCTGGCGTGAAGCACAGTCTAATGTTTGGTACAGCTCGACCACGGCCGGGTTTGTTGATCGAGCCAAAGGATCCTAGTCTGCTAGACATGGAAAATTCTGCTGCCAGGAAGATGTTTCTGGATGATCTGTATTCGCATGTGCAACAAAACAACCAGCGTGTCCCGTCCAATGGAGTGGTGATTCGCTCTTTGATCGCTCTCGTTACGAAAGAGAAACCTTTACCTATGACGGGAAAGGGCACGTTGCAAAGAAAAGCAGCTCTTGACTTGTATCAGGAGGAGATTGATGCGTTGTACGAAGCGCTCCCTCAGTCTGAAGCAACAATGCCTGACTTCAGGATTGGGTCAGGACCGTGATAAACAACTTCGCACAATGATAACCTCTACTCTTCAAAGTCCCTTGCATTTAAATCATCATGAAAGTCTAAAGTCTCACAATAACAAATTCAATCCCACATCTCGCCTCTCCCATCCACGCAAAAGCCTGACTAGGCGACCAAAAACTCTCCTCTCCAAAAGCCACAGTCCTTACTCGAACATCCCACCTCGTCTGCGTCTGTTCCTCCACCTCTGTCCACATTTTGCGAAACGAGCTCTCGTCATGCAAGTACATGTGCGCCTTGGAGCTGAATCCCGTAGAGATTGTCATGGGAGGCAAGGCACCGATTTGTTTGCCAATAATTGTAGTTCCTGGCCTGGCGCGACTCAGACGCACACATCTAATCGCTGCTTGTACCTGGCTTTCGAAATTGAAGAGATGGAAGAAATCGCCACAGATCAAAATGTCAAATGAATTCTCGTAGTCTCGGACCAGTGGGGAATGGTCGTCAAAGATGTCGCTTTTGATGAATGTTGCTTGCATTCTTGAGCGATCGCAGAACAGGTCAAAGGAAGCTTCCCAGAATTCTTGCGTGATGTCTGCACCGCTGTCTGTTAGTCTCTCTATGCAAAGGCTTTTCCATATATATATAAGAAAGGAGTGGTGGGAAAGATCTCCTCACCTGTCCCGAACATATTCTCAGTAGGCGCACCATCCGCCGCCAAAGTTCGTAAATCCTGCGCCATAGCACAGCCCACATCCAGCACCCTTTCGCCTCCTTTCACGCGGTTGAGAATCTGCTCGTATTCATTGTCGACTTTCGCAAAATGCAGTGTAGGCCGAAGAAACATGCACATTCCCACGCAGGGATATGGGTTGATGCTCCATGCCTTTTCACGCTGGCGATAATTTTCCATCAGCGATGTTCATCACTACCGCTGCAACAGTGCGCTCCTTACGAAAGTCGTGACATGCTGCTCGATTTGATCCTCGGCGATGCCAGAGTAGTTATGCAGGAGACTTCTCGCTGCATCGGGCACGTGGACTGGAGACTGCCACCATGGTACTACCAAACGGAGGATTGAGGAATACCAAGGCATTTCAGATTGTGATGTGTTGTCGTCAAGTGTTGTTCATGATCATGGCAGCAATGTGTCAGAGCTTGGTAACTATTTGCTTCATTAAACTCTACCATCTTTTAGTAGATGCTGCTTGGAGCTAGTGTAGGTGCAGAGGCGCCACTGCTTCGGACGRCCCAGATACAGCATCTTTTATACCACGCCGGAATTTTCTATCGATCGAAAATGCGTGCTGTACTTATCAAAAGTCGACACTGAATCAAGAGTCTACAAATTCTAAAATCACATCTCACGACATGGCATTCGGCTACGGTTCTATGCTGTAAAGCTTGTGAGCTCGAGTTTGTTCTACAGGATCATGATCTCCTCCGAAACTGCAGTTCCGGTCCTTCAGTCAGAGCCGTAACATGCGACTCCAACTGGAACTCCATCGGATTCCGTCTACCAGCCCGCTTCTCCGGCCCACCACACCCAACAAGACCAGCTGTCCCAGGAGGTGCTCTGAAATCGAACTCCAGCAAGACCTGTGCGACGAAGATTGCTATTTCCGCAAATGCTATCGATCGTCCAGCACATCCTCTTGGACCAAGGGAGAAGGGGTTGTAGGCCATGTATAAGCGATCGAGCTGTTTTTGATCCGAGGCGATCCAGCGCTCAGGGTCGAACGTGAATGGATCTTGAAAATAGTCCTTATTGTGGTGTGTGGCGTAGATGCTGGCGCCCACATCACATTTCGCAGGAATGTAGTGGTTACCGAGTTGCAGGCCTCCAAGTAGAATCTCGCGCCAAGGAGCCGCAGAAGTGGGTGGTGCCATGCGTAGAGTCTCCGTGATACAGGCTTGTAGATAATGACAGGACGAGGTATTGGCGATGCAGATATCGTCCACTTTGGCGAATCGCTGTCGAATCTCCTGTGCAAGCCGCTCGTAAATTGCAGGATAGCGCGACAAGTAGAATAGGAGGGCACATATCGCAGTCGAAGAGGTGTCGGAGCCTGCCAGCATGAGGAATATGCCCTCGGCCCACACCTCATTTTCAGTGAATCGGTTAGCTCCCTCAGCATTCAATACCAGTGAGAATATGCCCCTTTTGGTACCCCCTTCCTTCAACATGATCTTGCTGCCGAAAGTGCGCTTCCATTTCAAGAACTTGGCGAGCGGCCTGAGCTTGCCTTGAGTCCAGAGATACGCGAGTAGTAGGAAGTCAAGGTACATCAGGGCCGGCAGCTCGTAATAGCATCCCATCCTCCAAGAGTACACATTGATGCAGTCCACGAGAAATCTGTTCTCCTGGCTGTTCTGAAGCTGAGGTGACTCGCCGAATGCCAGGTCCGCCGTGACATCAAAGGTCATCCATCTGCCTGCGTCCACAATTAATAAACATACGACGCCCGTCCAAGAGAATCGAACACATACAGAGGTCGCTCATTTCTTTTGGGGTGGACCACCCGTGAGCGTCAGTTGCGGACCCCGAATCCAGCTTGGATCGAAGTACCCTCATGTGCTCAAGCATTCGAGGCTCGAATGTTTTGAGGGAGGCATCACTGAAGCCCATGGCGAGCAGACGACGTTTGGTCCGATGTAGATCCTTGTCGATGCACGTCAGGACCGACCAACCCTTTCCCCCTGGCACTAGGGGCATGTAGGACTGCGACTTCTGCACATTTTTCCTGTAGCCATAGATCTCTGAGACTGGATCAGCGTTGCCATGTTGGAGGGTCGGCGAAGCATGTACCGTTCATGACGGTGGGGTCGTTGATAAGCAGTTTGTTCGGGCCGTAACGAACATAGTCTCCATAGCGCAAGTGACATTGGTGCATGTCAAGGTGAATGTCACCGCGTAGCCCATGATAGGCAGCTCGAAGGTCTGTGAATCGAGAGAGAATTGGACCTGGATAGCGCGCGAGGGGATGATAACACGCAAGGTAGAGTAGTCTCAAGCCTGTCTATTGGAGTCTCAGCATCTGCGTCGAGAGAAATCTCACGCAAGGACATCTTACCGAAGCAATCACGAGGAGTAGACCGAGAGCAAGAATCGTAGTCGCAGGGATTGGCTTCACTGTAAAGGCCACGAAGATATCCTGACTGGCCGTCATTCTACCAACGGGATCGAATGTGGCTTGATCAAGTCGCTGACGCTGCCATCGAGCCGCGCGTACGGCTTGGTTCAGGAAGGTAGAGGTATCCCAAGAATTGCCAGACGTGGCGAAGGAGTCGAGGAGTAGTACCAGCCAGACAGTAGATGAACATAGTGGTCGACACGGCCGACTCGGAGGCAAAACACCCCGTAGGAGTATCACGGTCAGTAAGCTGAATGGGGGCGTGTGGTGGGTTTGATAGGCCCATCGTTCAGCCCGCCGACCTACTCTCGAAACGACATGGCGTAGGATTGGGGATCACCGCACCGGTGAGGCAGACTGAACATGAAGGTTTGATCTGCAAGCGGGTCCACCGCAGAAGCCAGGGCCGGGCCTCCCAGGTCGATCTAATGACTGCATGTCGACGCCTAGCAGCTGGCTGCCATTGAGCTCGAGAAACATAGCGGTATACTCAACATAGTCGTGGAAAGTTGACTTTGCTGTCAAGCAAGATTGACCATGTCGCACGCAAATACGTCCACGGCTTCGTGGCATGGTAGAGTTCATCGTCTTGGACTTTGAGAAAGCCAAATTGAGCCGGTTTTGCAGATCATCGGCTCCTCAGCTCGACGGCTATTCCTGCGATGGGAGAGATCAGCAGCGGGCATTCTGCTTCACCGCGGCGCACTCACTGAGCTCGAACACCTTGCTGTGGACTGTGAGCTTCCTCTCCTCTTCATACTACCTGGAATCACAAGAAGACTTGTCGAAGATTTGTAAAAACACTCCACCGACGTCTTGTTCTCATCCATCATGTCGACCGCCGAGGAACAGAAGACTATCGCAAAGGCCATGTGTGACATGTTCCGCWAAAGCAAATTTAACCCAGCACTCGCTCAACAGAAATTGACTGGACAAGACCGTCCAGCCCCCAAGGGCTTCTGTTTAAGCAAGAGCAGACTACCACCACCATCATTTCTGGACACGGACGCTCGCTCGCACCTCCTGGAAGCGGTAGCAAACTTGGAAACTGGCCAGGAGTCATTTACTTTACCGAAATACGGTGATATCCAAGGTGAATGGATCGGTGTTGCCGAGAACGTCGATGCAGGTCTTTCGGAGAAAGATAAATATGACCTTCTCACCGAGAGACGGAAATCAGATGTGACCATCATGTATGCCCACGGCGGAGCATATACCTTTGGAAGCCCAGTCAGCGCACGTCCAAGCACAATGCCCTTATGCTCTTTCACGGGTGGTTTATGCTTCGCCGTCAAGTATCGCTTGGCACCACAATTCCAGGCCTTGTCGTTACAATTGGACGTTTTCATCGCCTATCTTTCTCTACTGTATCCTCCGCCCGGCGCTTTCCATGCACCTGTGCCACCGGAGAAACTGGTTCTGGCTGGCGATAGCTCTGGCGCCGTGCTGGTTTTTGCTGTCTTGCAGATCATACTGCAGTTGCGAAGACAGCAGCAAACAACGAAGCCAGTAGTACGATGGTATGGGAGAAACGTCGAGGTGCCTGTACCAGCTTGTATTACGGGTCTTGGTGCCGCATCAGACCATTTGCTGTGTTTGCCTTCTTACCAGAAGAACGAGCAGCACGACATGATGAATGACGTACCGCCCTACCGATGCTCCATAGGCAAGACCGATTCTATATGRCCCGCAGACCCGCCCCGAGGGGACATTTCATGCGAGCTATCAGCCATGATCTCCATCATGTACAATCCGGGTCTGGCTCCATCATGGGAAGGTAGTCCTCCGATGTGGTTTGCCGTCGGCGAGGAAAGGTTTGCGGACGGGACAAAGTTGCTCGCTCAGCGGGCTGTGAAAGATGGAGTCAGCGTCCGGTTTGAGGAGTATGCAATCATGCCACACATCTTCCCACATATGCTGCCGAAGTTGCCGCAGGCGAAGAGATGCATGAAGGGCTRGGCCGAATTCATTACGCAGTGCTGTTCGGGGACGGGCGAGACAAAAGGTTCTAGTGCCATTCGTGTCGAAGCAGGACGCCTTGAGGAGAGGGAGCTCGATATCACCAAGCTCGTCGACTTTACCATCGACGAGGCCCGCGTCTTGATGAAAAATAAGCTTCGCACACTTCGGGTGTGGGAAGGTCCATGGGAAGAACCACAGCAGGGCGGTAAACTCTAGTCTCCCAGCGACTTTGACAATATATTTTGTGCCATTATGATTAAGATAGTATTTCCATCTCAATCCGGGAAAGAGTCGTTGGCCGATAGAGTCCGCTGATTAGCGCCCTCAAAAAAAGAAAAAGGGGCTTCTTGACACGACGAGTCACAAAGGAGATAAACCATCAGTCAACGATGTTCATGTTGTAATACCTGCTCTGAACCTCCTCGATTGCTGCACTGCGCATAGAACTCGCCCTCCAAATCCCCTCTTTCCGCCTGGCCGCTAGAATCTGCTTCCCGGTCTGCCCATGCGTCAGCGTCCAGAGGGATTTCGTGACTCCTTGTCCAGGATACGCGATGAGACCCAGCCCACCACTCACAGTCTTAGACAACAGACTTCCACTACCCTTTGCCACACCTTTGACAGCTCCCCAAGCTCCTTCCTTCCTGGCGCCTTCGCCAGGGAGATGTGTGAGATCCTTGAAACCGTCGCCAATACCGAGCTTGAAGGATTTCCCTGCGACAGCTACGCCAGATTTCCAGTCGGTGACTTTGCCGTAGTCTCTGACTTCTTCGCCCCAGAGACGAGGCATGGTGCGAAAGCCTTCGGTTACGGCTAGTGGCCAATCCACCACGAAGCCTTTGTAGACGGTTGGGACGATTTTCCCAATTGACTTGCCCGAGGCYAGGGCCATGGATCCTGCGACGGCCATGGAGTCCGCAACAGCCGTGCGTTTAGAGCGATCTTGGCCGTCGGCCTGCTGGGAAAATCGCTCAATACTAGAGTGCGTCTGAGTGAGACGGGCGAAGTTTTCGCTGGTTGAGATCAAATCCCTGCTTGTCTCCGTGGCTCTGCTCTGTGATATTTGATGGCTAGATGACCTCGACTTTGGCTTTTGGCTCCGGCTACGTCCACGTCCACGTCGATACGCTTCTGCGGGCTTGAGGAAGATGTCTCCCATGAGTCCGGCTAGGTCGGTGCTGGTGCCAATAATCGAGGAGGTTAACCCAGTCGCAGGATCCCAGCGGCTATTCTCAATCAAGATTGGACTTGGTCGGTACCTGACCTGATATTAGCAAGTTCAATGTGATTCGTGGATAAAAAATGAGTGGTGCAAAGATACTCACAGTTTGAAGTTGCCTGCATGAACACCTTCTTCCCTTATCAAGATCTCAGCAGCTAGAGCAGAGATCTTCGTCAGATGCTTGCCCACTTTGAGGGACAGGGAAGCGGGCTGGTCAGGTAGATAATCACACTGCATTCTTTCAAGCGGAAGGTGATTGAGGAAAGACATGACGGCGGTTCGCACTCCATCTTCCTTGTTCATCTTGCCTGATATCATGGCGGCAGCAGCCTGAACTTCCTTTGTCWGACAAAATCGCAAAGCTTCCGACAAATTCTGGACGCTGAGTGTTTTATGCGGTATAGGCGTTGGCCCAGCACCTGCGGCAGCGACCATTTCACCCCAAAACGGTTGGTCGCCAAAAAAGGGCACAATCACTGTAGGTCTCGCGTTGCGTAGTCCACATGCCGCTGTACCGGCACCGCCATGATGCACAACCGTGGAGACGTGTTGAAATAACCATTCGTGGGGACAGTCACCCAGCCAGAAAATGTCAGATCGAGCAGGACCGTCAAGTCGACTCCATCCACGAGAAATGACTGCTCGCAGACCGCATGCACTGACCGCTTCCACAATCAATGATGAAATGGCGACTGAGTCGTCCAGGACAATCGAGCCAAAACCTATGTAGACTGGGGGATCTCCGTCCTCCAGGAAAGCTCTGAGGCTGTCTGGCGGCGTGTATGCTGGAGGTTCGCGGAAAAAGAAGCCAGACACTTCAATGTTGGCTGGCCAGTCTTTGGGCTTGGGGATTAAAGCCGGAGACCAACAATATGTGAACGGAATCGATAGCGTCGATGCGAGAAGGGGCCCCTCCGTGTTGGGTACCGGTTCCAGACCAATTGTCTTGCGCCATCCGTTGATCACATCACCCAGGCCTTGCCACGTCATGAACTCCACCAAGATGTAGGACAGATAATTCGCCAGCTTCATGTCCTTGGTCTTGCCGGAAATGTTGGCTAGTGGGTGTGGAAAGCTCGACGTCGCTGTCCAAGGCATTGTGAAGACCAGATGAACGGGGATCCCCAATGCTTCCGCGCAGTGAATGTGAGCGAAGCTCGGCGGGTTCGCAATAATGGCGTCCGCTACGAAAGGCTGTCCGGTAAGTGGATCGGGCTCTATACAGCTGTTCCAACATCCTTCGAGCATCTCCGCAATCATCTCACGTTTATGAGAAATCTCACCGGCTCTCAATGATTGCACACTAGGGATGAGGCCAGGATTCTTCACCATGTAGGACATCAAGTCTCCTGGATCGCCACCGATGGGATAGAATTCCAGTCCCGAATCACGCACGAACTTTTCGAATGTACCGTGCGTGGCGATGCGCACTCGATGGCCGCATCTCTGCAGTTCATTGCCGAGAGCCACGAATGGCTGCACGTCGCCCCGGCTTCCCACCACGTGGATCACAATGTTAAGTCGCAATGGAAACTGTTCGGGAGATGTGTAGCGAACGTATTGTGGAGGTGGGGAATGCAAGTCACCATCACTGGGAGGTAGTTTGACCAGCTTGGATAACCTTCTGCTCAGTTGGGAGTCTAGATTGACATGTATACGGCCATCGTCTGCGCCCTCGTCTCGTCAGCCAGTAGTTCATCGGAGCTGCAGAACTTGGAGGAGTGCAATACCTCTCATCGTAGTCACTTTGCAAGAATGAGCTGCGATGGCATGATCGGCTTCGTGTCCCGCCATGGGAAGATTATGACTTGGCGCCCGCCGCTGTGCAAAGCCTGGCTTTTCTGTGTCCATGTAGATTGATTGGTATGAGACGGGATTCCAGCAGGCAATGGGAAATCGTGGGCTTTTGTTCACACAGCCCACTTTGCATGGAGGGTCTCACATACAAATACAGTGCGTTTCGGAACGACGGCGTGTTATGCTGGAAATGTCATCGTATTCGCAGAGGAGAAATGAGCACAGCGTGCCTGAATCCCGGGATTTGTGAAGGGCAATTCGACTACGCATTCTTGGATCAAAGGCCTGTTGTACTCATAGAAAAGCCGAAGGCGTAGTAGAGCCGAGCGCTACGCTCTGTCGGAGCCAAAACGATATGTATAGCTCGCTCCGCTTTGGTCGGATTCGCGTTGATCGTACTCCGTATTCGCTTTGGTCGGATTCGCTCACAAGCTTCTTGGACAAGTCTTTGCCAAGGAAAATGGCCGTCGCGGACTGGCCAAGGTAACTGTAAGTGGGACCTCACCCTCTCCTGGTCCACTACTACTACTACTGTCAAGTGTGAGGAAGCACTGGCCGTTTCGCCCTCGCCTTTCCCTATGAGGGAAACCGCGAGGGGAACCATGCTGGTAGACATAGCCTGAGTGGGTAAACATTTGAAAGTCGAAACAAAGCTATGCAGTAGGATCGTGTTCCTTGACATGGTATATATATATTGATCGATCCGCCATCTACACCTGGCACGTCTTTTAAACATGCCATTTTCACCTCGACGCCTCGAAGCCTTATGCACCTTATTGCCATGGCTCCTTGTGCCAGCTAAAGCAGCTCTCAGTATGTATCCCCCTTACATGGCCTTCCCTGGGGCATTGCCGTTTGCTAAACACAACTCTAGCATGGGAAGCAGCAACTCTGAAAGCCCAGGACTTCGTGTCCCACCTTTCGACCGACGAGAAGATCGGAATCGTATCGGGTGCATACAGACAACCGGGTCCGGCATGTATTGGACAAATTGGAAGCATTCCGCGACTCAACTTCACCGGCATCTGCTACGCCGATGGACCAGCTGGGTTTGCACGTTCGGACGGCGTGAGCGTCTTCCCATCCGGTCTGGCTGCTGCGGCGACTTGGGATACGGAGCTCATGTATGAACGTGCTGTCGCTATTGGGGAGGAGTTCAGGGATAAAGGGGCGCACGTACATCTTGGGTATGTCGTCTTCATCTCCTCGGAATGCTCACACTGTATCTTTACCACTAACAACCCCTCAGGCCAACAACCGGTGCGATAGGACGCCACGCGCAAGGCGGTCGTAATTGGGAGGGATTTGGACCTGATCCTTATCTCGCTGGACAAGCCATGTACGCCAGTGTAATGGGCGTCGAATCRCAAGGCGTCCAAACCTGCTCAAAGCATTTCATCGGAAACGAGCAGGAAACGCAGCGTACCCGACAAGTAAATCCAGATGGATCCACCATCGAGGCGCTGTCGTCCAACATCGATGATCGTACACTTCATGAGCTTTATCTGTGGCCATTTGCGGATGCTGTGAAAGCTGGCACGGCAAGCGTCATGTGTGCCTACAGTCGCATCAACGGCAAATACGCCTGTAGCGATGAAGGGACACTCTCCATCCTCAAAGACGAATTGGCATTCCCGGGATATGTCGTATCTGACTGGTTTGCGACACATGGTACTGCTAGCTTTGCGAACGGAGGTCTGGATCTTGAGATGCCTGGAAACGTGAGCGCTCAGTATGGATCCTCCTATTTCGGCACACCCCTTTTGCAAGCTGTGGAGAATGGATCTGTGCCCATGACTCGGCTTGATGATATGGCGACACGGGTCATGAAGCCTTATTTCAGGCTTGGCCAGGATGTCGACTTCCCTCCAGTGGATCCGGCAAACGCAGCGACCATTGGGGTGAATACAGCTGGTCACACGGGCATTGATTCGACGCCAGAAGCGATTGATGTTCGTGGAAATCATTCGAGCTTGATCCGGAAACTCGGCGCAGCTGGCACCGTACTGCTGAAGAACACCGGAAAGTTTCTACCCCTGACGAAACCTATCAACGTTGGTGTCTTTGGCAATGGCGCTCCATACCCAGTCTCGGGCTCAGTCTATTTCAACGACAACTCAGACTCTCAGGGATTGGAAGTCGGACTTTTGGATATTGGCGGTGGTTCTGGATCGGTTCGGCACTCAACCCTCACCTCGCCCTTCGAGAGTGTGCGTGATTATGTCGAGGCATACGGCGGCCGTGTACAGGCACTTCTGGACAATGACATGATAGCTAAGGGCACCTTCCGCTCCATATATCCCGTGCCAGACGTATGCCTCGTATTCCTCAAGGCATGGGCGTCGGAGGGCTATGACAGGGAGAGCTTGGACCTTGCATGGAACGCAACAGCAGTTGTAGAAGCCACCGCACATCTA